CTTATATACATGCCTAACACCTTGCAACAAATTAGGTTGACCAAACTGGCTAAACATTCTGCTCATTTTACTGTACATTACTGGTATAAATACTTAATGGCTTGTAGGAAATATGAAAATTTAGATCTGTTTTTAGTGACTAGAGGAGGGCAGTATTGTCTAGGTAGCAACAGTTCATATGAGGAGGAAAGGGGGTGCGTCTTGTCACCCACAATGATGTTTGCCTTGTCAGTCTGTCTCAGTAAATATCTTCCATACTTGGTAACAAAATCCCTAACAGTCCACAAATGCTGTTTACCTCAGCAGGACAGAAGTCTGTGCCTATCTGTGGAAGGTTCTGGGTTTGAATCCTGAGGCTGGCCGAGTAATCACATGACCATTAGGCCCCTGAGCAAGGCCCTTAACCCCAGTTGCTCCTGGGGGGCTGTACTCTGGCTGGCTCTCTGCTCTACCCCCCAAACTCTCTTTCATAGAGAGCAAAATGGTCTATGTGAAATCACATGTCCAAATGAAAAATGAAGTATATCTTATTGCTTGTATCAAACATTAATCGGCGGGTGTTTCGGTGGGCCGGGGGACTTTGGTGTGATAAGATGTGGCGAGCACTGCATTAGCCGTGTTAAGCGATGCGGGTTAAATGACAGGCTGACCCCGAAGAAAGCCCCCGTTTTATACCACCAAAGAACTTATGGTGTCCTTTCAGCTTCCCTTTGGGCCCTTGACATTTCTTGTACATAAACGTTACTGTGCCAAATGATAAATAATTGTTTGTGAAGTGCTAAGTGTTCGGGCCTTTAATTTCTGGCTCTAAAACACTGGTGGAATGGAATCGTGTCCTGAAGGCAGCCAGTCTGGATTCAGCCCATTCATCCCCAAGCCCGTTGAGAGCAAACCCCCGTGTTGTGTTTAGGCTGAAGCAGAGAAACATCTTTTCTGAGCTCCAGCACAGGTCAAGCAATTTAATGGCTTCCCCTTACTGCAACCCCCCCCCCCCCCAAAGATGCAGAGCTGACCATTAGTCACAGCCACATAAAGCATTTCCGGTTGTTTGGCTTTGCAATCCTTATTTTTTTCTTTTTCCTTAGTGAGTCTCCGCTGTAAGGTAAAAGAAAACATGACCAAGACTGAGGCTGGACTGTGTTGGTGTGCACAGGTTACCCATGGACTGAGTTGGTGTGCACAGGTTACCCATGGACTGTGTTGGTGTGCACAGGTTACCCATGGACTGAGTTGGTGTGCACAGGTTACCCATGGACTGTGTTGGTGTGCACAGGTTACCTATGGACTG